ATTGGACCATCTGCGATTGCTATTAGCGATCACTGTTAGACAGGCTCTATTCGAACCAATGTTTCTGTAATTAACGACACGTACGTATCAATGGATCGTTTTGAATTATGACGAAATCTTGTTCGTAAAGAAAAGAATGTATAATACATCTGGGACAGCGAACACTTTAAAAAAACAGATATTGCAAAGATATGTTGAATTAAATTGAATTAAATTTTATATTTCATATGAGGATACGAGAATTGACATTTCTTAACATCAGATTATATATATATATATATATATATTTTTAACTGTAAGCTGGAATGAATCCACGTCTAATTCTGTGTAACAAGAAACGAACAGTTTGATCTAATCTGCAATATGAGTAAATGGAACAGAAAATCTATACTGTATGTATATCACAGATAAAAATAAATTCGTCGCATTCGACTCGAAATCTAATTACATTCCATAAAGATGATCAGAAACGAAGCAACAATATTCAATTCTGCTTCGAGCGATAAATTAAATAATTATTGGATCATCATAATTCATCAACAATCTCGAAAAGTTGCTTTCTATTATTTCTCGTCGCTTAATATAATCGGCTAATATAATTAGCAAGGAGGAAAGCAGTCTCGTTCGAGGAAAGTTTCATTGAATTTTCCATGAAATTCCCCACGTATTTCTCCACCGTCCGCCTGTCTCCGTATTTCGCAACGCGGACAGTATTACTACTGGGTCTGTCTGGTAATAGAGTTATTATCAGGTTGAAAGCTGTCTTGTGCATCGAGAATTACAAACGTCATACCAGAATGGGTTTCTTTTCCACGAAAATTGAGAATTCTCGAGGAAGTCTCTCCTCGAATTAACTCGCAAGTTTTCATCTGATCTATCTCCCCCATTTTCATCGCCTTTTTTTCAAGAGGATCAGCGAATCGAAATCTTGCTGAACTCTTATCTTAGCTTCGTCGAGCTATTGTTACGTAATTATTTATTTTTAATCGAGAAAAAATTCGATTCTCTTTGAGAACATTCTTTATCTCTTTCTTTCTAGAGTTTCTAGCCAAATATATAATATAATATAATATATAATATATATGTACATAATATAAATATTCTTTAATTTTTTAAATTTCGAAGGGGGAAGAAAAAATATTCGACGACGTATTCGACTAAAAAGAGAAAAAGAAAAAAACAAATTTCCACCTTTGTTTTTACTCGATATTCGTATATAAAGACAAAATGGAATCGAAATGGAAAACATTGGGAATCCAATTCAATTTAGATAAAAATCTTATGCGAATTCTGAAAGATGTAATTATACAAGGCGAGATCCCATTAGAGGAATAGCTCTCTCTCTCTCTCTCTCTCTCTCTCTCTCTCTCTCTCTCTCTCTCTCTCTCTCCTCGTTCTAATTTCCCTAATGAATTCCGCTTTCAACGGATCGATCTTGATCGCGATTCGAAACGCCCACGACGTCCGGCCATCCATCCGGTCGTTTCCGGAAGTAGGCGTAGGTGACCGAAATTGATACGAAAGGAAATACACCGAATCCACAAGATCTCGGTTACCTCGCTCGTTCGACGCCCAAGGGGAGGGGAGGGGAGGGGAGGCGCCACGCGGACAATGTTATCGCTTTTAGTTCGATAGCGATTCCGATGACTTCCGATACGCGTGTCCTCCAACAAAATACGCGAAACGGATAGAAATGTGAGAGAAAGGGAAAGGGAGGGAGGGAGAAAATTTTATTTGACGGTTGGAGGGAGAGGGGAAAATTCATTCGTGACAACGTACAGGAATCGTGTTTGTGTCGTGACATATTAACGTAACGTTGCACGCCTACGTAGGATAGGTCGTTGGGAGCGAAGTTTTACTAGGAAATGGAATATTATTGAATTTTGAGCGGTAAGAAGAAGAATTCTTTTTCTCTGGAAATATTTTCTCGAAACGTGTGTTACGTTATATAAAATATGTACAGCAGAGATTAGGATTAGGATTAATTTGGAGAATTGTTGATAATGAAGTAATGATGCAATGTAATTGTGTATAGTTAGTATACATAGAAATTACGATTAAGATTATTTATCGTTGAAATGTAATTACGCGAAATATGTAATTTGTACGTCGAGCGACCGCTTTATCGATTACAAAAAATTATAAAGACGGTTGAGGATAAAATTATTTTGATAGGAATAAATTATTTTTTATTGGAATATTATTTGAATTTGAACGGTAATAAACAAAAAATAAACAATTTGTATATCGAGCAACTGCTGTATTGTTATATTGTCGATTTTAAAAAATTATACGGTTGAGGTTAAGAATAAAGTTATTTTCATAAATTTATTATTCGAAGCATGGAATAAGCACAATTAATTGTAGCCTAGAATAGTCAAGATTACATAATTATTACTTAAATTATTCGAGATATTAATCGATTAATTTTTCACCTCAATCGAACCGATATATCAATAATTGATTTTTTCTATCGATATTTTAGTAGAGATAAGATAATTCTAAAGTAGTAAAGTAAAGTAGCGATAAGTAAATTTGAACAATTTTTAACTCGAATTTACAATTTTTATTTCGATTTATTATTTTTTTTTTTTTCTTTTTAATATTTCAATTACACGATAACTGACACAGCGATTATTGATCGATGATCGTTGTTCGTCTTGTTCTCTTCGTTTGTCGCCCTATCGAAATTTTCCAACATGGCCGGTGAATCTAACAAATTCAACAGCGATCTCGTTTCGGTTCCCCACGGTTAATTTAGAGGCCAGACAGAGTCTTCTCTCCCCGATTCTTATCAAACAGAAACGCGCACCCGGTACACTTCGTGTACTTATGGTAATGTATCCTCTGCGGAAGTGCATATTAATGTTGTGCATCAACGTTGCCAACGCGCGACAAGTGAAATTGTTTTTAAACAACGCGTGACTTTATCGCCGGAACGAATCATAATGGGTAACGTGAAACAATTTACGCTTTGCGGAACATTTAGAAAACACGTTTTACAAACACATTTACAACGCCTCAGATCGATATTTCAATTCTTCGATAAAAAGTTCACAGTTACTTATTATACTCGTACAAGAATGTATGTATATATATATAATGTTTATATATATACATACGTATATACGTTTTCGTATATAAATCCTCGTGTGGTTAGATATTCTTTTGTTGCTTCTTAAAAAATACATAATAGTTATTAAAAATTGGATTACATTTCGTCAAAGAAATGCACTTGAAAGAAAAAAAAAAGTGATGCGTTAATACATAATATAATCCATGAAAATACAGCTGTAGATTTCAATTAATATAATATTCGATATAATACAATTAATTAATTACTTTCCCTCTTTTTCTTGATCTTATTTACCTTGAAATCGATTTACCTAGAAATCAAGGATAAATCCGCGATAAAATTTATAGCAAGATCAGACGTTTGTTACCTTTTTTTTGATCGAAACGAAATTTTATTTTATTCAGACCTGTATCCATTTTTTTTCCACGAGGCGAAGGGAAACAAAAGTTATTGCCGTGGCAACGAGATTTCGACGTTGCCATCTAGGCGAACGATAAGCACGTAAAGATCTCTAGTGCGCGTTTGCACGGTAATCGAGTCCCGATGAATCACTCGTATTAAACAGTTGCATCGATTTTCTTCCCCCTACCTTGGCGCCACGACAACTTTGCAACACGACAAAGGTTCGTCGACCGTTCATCCCGTATCTTCTCCTCAGGTTTAGACCGATTAATTATATAGTCTGGCGCAATCGTCTGGCAAGGATCGTGAAACGGTGTCCCATTATTGGGACACTTTCGAAATACTTGAGCAAGTACGCAACATTAGATCGTCGAGAGAATAAAAAATAAATTTACAACGATGGAAAACGATACGAACGTAATCTTAAACTTAACCTAAATTTAATCAGAATTCAATCCTTATTGTACACATGGATCGTAGCTCGGATCTAAAACTCCAATTTATATATAATATTCGTGAATAAAATAAATGTAACCAAAACGTGGTTCGTATCTAATCTAAATCAAGATGTCTGCTCCCGCCATAATTTAAACGTAACAGGTCAATCGTGACCGAAATTCAATCAGAATTTAACTTTGCAACGAACTTTGTAATTGCGTTTCCGTCCGTATATACATAATTCAAATTTAAATAAATGTCAAATAATTAAAAAAAATTATTTATACGATAAAATTTTACGAAAACTTTTGACAAGATAATTCTTTGAATTATTTCTTCTGAATACTGGCAAAGATTGGAAAGTTGTTGAAGAAAAAAAAAAAAAAATGAAACTAGGACTGTCTTATTACCATTTGATTCATTACTTCTATATAAAGTGCATGCCAAACTGGAAAATCGAGTTCGAGAACATCTTCGACCGGTTAATTTTTTTTTTTTATCGTTTCGAATAATTAACGAAATATTCCGGGTTCCACAACCGGTTTTCTATTTTAAATCTTCTAATTACAATTCGATCGAACGTTGTTGATAATTACGCTCAACCCTTTCTTACGGCTTCTTGCAACTTCCATTAGGATTTCGATTAATCCGTCTTTCGGTTTCGCCCCTATTCGATATAACCGAGTTTCCGCGTTATTACACGCATTATTTCGAATAACAGTTATACACATCACGCTCGAGTAGAGTACTCGAGCAATAGTAGAATTTCAGTTTACTAATAAACTGAAATATTAAAAATTACGCTTATTTTTAAATTACGTATATAAAAATTTTTTTTATTTTTCAATCGATCAACTATATACATTTAATAATAATCAATTTAAAATATTCTTATTTATCTATCCTATAATAATCGAAACAATAAAACTCGTCATTTAAAACTTCCGTTTTGAATGTAATCGTGCGATAGAGCGATGTATAGCGGGTTGCTCCATAGCGGTATGCCAGGAGCAACCAACTCCGTATCCTTAAATTTTATTTAACAAAAAGAACAAATTAAATATCTACTTGCATGTCTCGACAATCTCTCTTTTCCTGGTGTAAATTTATTAAATTTTCTCGATCGATTAAAATAAATGTTTACAAAATATAAATTAATCGTTTAAACGCAATATAAATAACTTAATTTAAAACGATAATTTTCAAAGCGGTCAGACTGCTGTTGTAATTACGATAAGAATATCTAATAGGAAGTTTACATTGTTTCCAAGTTTGCATGTATAAAGTAAATCCGTGACGTTCTATTCGTCCTCGAGTAATAATTATCGGAAGCTAATATCGTTTCGCGTTATATGCCCTCCCGGCATAATGTTGCCCAACTTCTCCCCCGTTGACGTGCAATCCAACTTCAGAAACTCCAATTGCTGTCTGTACGTATATCGCATTAAGTCGCGATACAAAGTGCCGTGCCAATTTCCAACGGTTGTTCTCGCCGCTCCTGCTAATAACCTGCGCAAGAATTGTTCGACCAGTGAAAACAGGCCTTTGTACGCTCCTCTGGAAATAATATATATATAGCTTCAAAGAGCAGCTTGAGATAATACCAGTTGAGGAGGGAGAAGACGTTGGCTTAGATTCAGATTCAGTGTTTTACTTGTAAGTTGCAGTTGTAAACTCTTGATTTGTGAACGTTTCCATCCGTGGAATATTGTATGATTAACACAGTTTGCAGAGATATCTATAATTCCTGTGCAGTTAATATTGATTTTAAAGTTTGGGATTAATCGTTGAAAAAGTAATTTGAATTTATGAATACATGTATGAGGGAGTAAAGTAAAGTACTAGATATGTACAATTTAATATATTTGCGATTTAACTCGGTAATTAGCTTCGCGGTTAGTGATATTATTTGCGTTTTTTTTATGTAATGAACAATTTTATATTCGGTTTTAAATTTTATATTTGCCGGGATAATTTTTGTCCATGATACAAATGGGATATCGGCCCGATCTTTCCGCATTCGCGGGCTAAAATTAACCCGTCCTTATTGATTTTCCGTGGCCAAACTAGTCCGCCGATTAAGAAATGACCGGCCTAATAACAGATTTAACGATCTCCAGAAACGAATCTCCCCCTCGATTTCACCGTACTCTTGCGCAAACGTAAATCGTGATCCTCCACTCGAGACTCGTTGAAAGGATTGTCAACAACTTATCAGTTAGCCTCGATCCTTCGGTGTGACAACGATGTATTCGCGATTGATTAGAGTTTTCCTTTTTTCTCTTTTTGCAATGGCCTCATCGCACAGATCGAGGGAGTACAGTAGGAACTAATAGTTAAATGCAAAATCGTTAATATTAAGAATCTACCCGTTATTTGTAAATCCTCTTCTTTTTCTCGTATGCTGATTCATACATATTATATTCGTAAAACATCTTTGACTTTTTACAAGTCAATACAAAAGTACAGTGCGCGCTTATTTACGAGCAATTTAAATTTGCATTGGACGAAGAGAAGAAGTGTTATACGAAATATATCGAAATATTCAATTTCTTTAGAATCTTTAGAATCTATTTCTTCGAATATTCTCTCGCGTTGAAAAAAAAAATTTGAGAAGAAAAATTGAAACATCGATCAAATTCAAATCGATAAATTAATTTTCAGAAATGGATCGATCGGTGTTATACGAAATATATCGAAATATTCAATTTCTTTAGAATCTTTAGGATCTATCTCTTCGAATATTCTCTCGCGTTGAAAAAAAAAATTTGAGAAGAAAAATTGAAGCATCGATCAAATTCAAATCCAATCCAATCGACAAATTAATTTTCAGAGGTGGATCGAGAGGGAGGGGGTCGAAACTGGCCGGAATCATGCCCAGATCCTGATCGCGGAGCACGACGGGCCCCGTAGGGGTGGGGAGGTGGACGGAAGAAGACGGTAGAAGAACGGCCGTTGGCCACGACCTCGACAAGGCCTCCCCCGTGGTCCTGGAGGGGGTGGAGGTCCTGGTGGAGAATGAGCATGTTGAGCATATTGCGTAGAAATTGGGCACTACGGGTGTCGGTGGTGCTCAATATCTGCGTGTTGCTCTACGTATGCGCCCATTACGGCTCCTCCGGGCCCTGGATCGAGGAGCCGCCGACCAACTGGGCGGCGCCGTTGCAGTCGGAAACATTCGGCGGCGTGGAGCCGGTGAACGGCACCCAGAAGGGCGCCGCCACCTCGTCAGCTGTGCCCACGACCAAGGAGGGCAAGGGCGCCCGTAACGCCAACAAGACCGGCCAGATAAGGGCGAGGCATCTCGTTACGAGGCCGACCACCAACGACGAGGCCGGGGCTGATCCCGTCGACGGAGCTGAATCGCGCAGGCGTAATCAGACGGTGAGTCCATTTCTTTTCTTTTTCAAAAAAGAAAGAAAAACGCTTTGGGCTTTGAAAGGGTTAACCCTTTGCGCTCGAGGCCTTTTTCCAACCACGCGATTTTCCGCACCCGTTCAATGAATTAATAATACAAAACTTTTGTATTTTAATATTTTGTGTACGTTTATGTGTGAAGAAAGAAAATTTGTCGAATATTAAAGCGTATATTAGTTTCGCGATATTTTAATAATAATAAAGTAATTATGCATCCTCGGTTTGTCAGGGCGAGTATCGCGATAAAATGTCGTTTAATGTCTTTCATCTTTCTTATTTCATCGAGAGCGACACTGTCTATTATTCTTATTTTTCATCTTCTTATATTACATCACTATTTTTCACTCTCTCTCTATCTAATAATTTCCTTATTTAATAACGAAAAACTCATCTTGAACTAATATTCCAATAACATGCTTTTACATTCACTGTCTATTATTCTTATTTTTCATCTTCTCTTACGTTTTTGTTTTCATCGCTTTTTCCTCTTTCTGTCGTCAATTTCTTAACGAATAGAAATAATTTCGTTATTTAATGACGAAAAATCAAATTTTTCGCTCGAACTAATTTCATTTTATCTTATTCCATGCTTACAAAACTCAAAAATATTTTTGAAAGTAATATTTCTATTGTCAAACTCGGGCTATCGCCGAAAATGTTGTTCGATCACGGTTTAATTTGAGATAAAAAAATCTAACCATTCGATATTCCACGCTTTGTAAAATTACACGTAAAGAGCTTAGGAATCGATTAAAGCGATATTTTAAAAAAATCGAACATAAATAAATATTGTCGCCGTTCAAACCGAGTGTCTGAGATCATTGGAATGCAAAGAATTGAAATGCTCGAATGATTTTCTTTTTCGTAGCTATTTTATTATAGTTACGATTTATTGTTATGTTTAACAAATTATCCTAATAATTTTACTCGTAATTATTAAATTACGACCCATATAATTGTTTGAAATCCGATGAAAGATGATACTACGATGTTCTAGTATTGATTGACGTTTATATAAAAAAAGAGAAGGTTGAGAATGTTTTATGCAAGAAGAGGAAATTATTCAAGCAGCGTAATTTATTCTTTCTATCGATATTTTCAATTCAATGGACTATTTAAATAGTTAATATTAAAGTAATTGGAAATTATTTCACGATCCATTTAGGCGACATTCTATTGTATGGAGATACGGTTGGACGATCGGGAGATCTAGGTTAGGTTTCCCGCTATAGTTGGACGGAGAGAACAAGTTATTATAGTGATTGTATTCTTTTGATCATTAATTTTTCTTAATTTTCAATCGATAGAAAATCAAGTTTCTATATCAGATTGGTTAAGTGCACGTGCGATTCAACAAAATTGCAATTGGCAAAATCCGTGTAAAGAAAGGAAACGGCATCGTTAAACTTTAGAAGGCTAGAAACAAAAGAAAAAGATATAAATTGGACGAGTGACGGTACGGTGGAACGATTTAGTCCATTCGAGCAGATCGTTTGATGGAAAAGTTCGATGAGACGAGATTTCTCCAATAGTTTTTGGATCGAACACGATTTATTCGATTCACGCTTTATGCCGATTTGATTTATGTAGGTGTTGATCGATCGATCCGTGAAATTGATCCGCGATAATTCGAGCTAAATAAATCTCGAATTATCTGTGAATAATTCATACGATGGACGTATCAAACAAATCGAATTAATTTTAATTTCAATTTGAATCGATTATTATTCCCCAATTTTCAAAATGGATATTCCATTTAATGATGTTATTATTGGATAGGTTAATTATTTTTCCTTCTCATTCTCACTCATTTCATTCGTTCAACTATGAAATTTTTATCAACGAATAAAATATATCTTGATGATGCTCGCTCTTTTCTCCTCTTTTTTTTTTTTTAACCGCATATTTCAACCGTTTACACTCCGATGACTCTGACCTTATATATCAAATATCTTCCACGTCAACGATCGTATTCGATGCACACACATTTCTTCGGAACAACTGCACAGATGTATATATGTATATTATGCTTCGTATTATTCAAACTTTTCATATACTATATTTGTATTTTAATAGAAATACCACGAACTTTTGTTTAGATAAACACTCTCATCATAATATTATAAAACGATATAGATCAGTTATATTGCGATCTAATTGTCGAGTTGAGGTTATGCGTTATTTCTTATCCTTCCTAACCCCGTCGATAAAGTAGGAAAATACTAAAAGGATATATTTTTTAAAAGGCGTGAAGGCGTGTTCGTCAAATTTCGTTCGTTCGACTTAAAGATACAGATAACTTGAGGGGAAATCTGTAACAGAGGCAAGTAAAAGAAGTTACAATGTCCATCGTGTACAATTTTATCTTATCTCGTCAGATTTTTTATCATGGAAATACGTATTCATCGACGAAACGATCCGTTCTCGTCTGAAATTCACTTGTCCGCCATTGGTTGAAAAGTGGCTCGACCTCGTTTAAAATCCTAATCTTTGAATAAGATCGGGTCTCGAGAGATCACGTCGGATTCAGAAGTGCTTTTGCATTATCGTATTACATTGTCGTGCATAACGATAACTGTTCGTGAACTGTGTGCTCTGCGATGAATGTTAACGATTTTTAACTATTATTTTGCTAATCCATAACCACCTTGACGACAATTGAACGATATATAATTTTAGATTTGGAATGGTGTAACTAATTTATTGATCAATTTCTGCGATCATTTATATTGAAAATTCACACGTTATATTTTTCAATCGATTTTCACGAAGATAAATTTTTTTTTTCTTCGCTCTTCAGAAAAAAGTGTTCCTTTTTATGGCACCATACCTGTATTATTTTTTAAAATATTTATTCGACACTTAACTGGATCCACTCTATATTATTTTCAGTATGCGCACGAACAATGTGCATTATCCGTACACATCTTCTGTTATCATAAATGCGAAAAAGAAAACGTCATTCGCCGGAATAGAATAGAATTCAAAACGATACACGTAACGCAATTTTTCCTACATCTTTTCGTACAGCTCTTCTTAAAACTTTTTTTAAATTGGGGCAAAATTTTGGCAAACGAAAAATTATAATTCTCATATTAGATTTGATGATACGTGTTAAGTTCGAGCTTCGAAGTTCAAAAATCTGAATAATACGTCAGCTGAACGAGCGAGATTAAATTTCTCTTTTTCTTTTTTTTTTTTTTGCAAATCGAGCAACTCGCAGCCAGAGAGAAGTACAGAGAGATTAATTCGCGCCAAATCGAGCTCGAAGGCCGGTTCTAATCGCTGTGCAGTTCGATATTTTAAAGAGAGGAACTTCAACGTGTCTATCTTTCTCTCTCTCTCTCTCTCTCTCGCGCTTTTTTCCTATTTCTTCGTATAAAATTGAAAGAGAAGTTTTTACCCGAACGAACGTATCCAACAGGAAATATCGATGATATCGCAAAATTCAGTATGCCAAAAATATACACGTCAAAATTTTTATTTATTCCAATATATATAAATAATCAAACAGATTATTCTCTTCCTCTGAGAACTCGAATAACATTGGCGTTAAGGAAAAAATTTTTTCCTCTTCAATTTTAATCAAACGTATCTTACTTTATTTTGCATTTCTGATTTTACGCTGGATTTATGGATTTATGCGAAAAAATATAATTAACCGACCAATAAGTGGAATTCCACTTTAATCACATCCGCATCGATATCTGATTATATATATATCTGATTATATATATATATCTTTAATCTCATTATTTTCAACCCTCTTCGTAGCATCCCACGAATAGAAATCGATCAAAATTTCCCTTCGATTCAATCCATACCAACAATTTATAATCTTTACCTTCGGCCCCATATATCAATATTGTATCTCTTTTATAATTTTGCGCAATTTTCATTTCCACAATGGAACTTAAATAAACCATTATTAATTAAACGAAAGAATTGTAAAAAAAATCTTTTTTCAATAATAATTGTATCTCTATTTTTGCGTAATTTTCATTCCCACAATGGAACTTAAATAAACCAATTAAACGAAAGAATTGTGAAAAAAAAACTTTTCTTAACAAAATTACAAATTCTCATTCTACAGTTCGATTATTAATTTTGCCATCGAATTTTTATATTCTCTCTCTCTCTCTCTCTCTCTCTCTCTCTCTCTCTCTCTCTCTCTCTCTCTCTCTCTCTCTCTCTCATTTATGCCAAAATCATCATCAAAACTCGATCCAAATTGAATCTCTCCCCCGCCTCTCCATCAAAATGTAAATTTTCCAATCCATGAAAGAATCTTCTCGTCGATCGAGTCTTCGGTCTGCTGAATTAACCGTTCGTTTTCTCGTTAAGGTGAAGAGCGACACGCCGGTGATTCAGCCGACGATGAGCCTAAAGGAAGCTGTGCCGTGCAACGAAAAGTCGATGGAACCAAGAAGGGCGCAACGGGGTGATTACTGGGTCCTGTACAATTATGTGCCTATGAGCATGGCGGTGAGATGCTGGGAGAGTGTGACGTACACCACGCACGCGGATTACACGTTTCTGGATAATCTGGAACCGTTGTTGGAACGATGGAGGGCCCCGATATCGATTGCGATGCACGCCCCTGGAACAGACTTTGCGGCGACTCTCGACGCCATCAAGTACTCGAGAAACTGTGGCAGCCCACTGGTCTCCCAGCTGGTCACCTTCCATGTATTCTTCAGTAGCAAACACGTGCCAAAAGTGGTGGGTAAAAGGAAATGACGATATTATTTTTTTTTCTTTCTCTCTCTCTCTCTCTCTCTTTCCTTGAAACACTTGTCATTTTTTTTCCTTCTCTTTTATGTGTATATACATAGATCGAAATTAATAAAGAAATATGATCTGGATGGTCTGTTAATTTAGATAGACATGATTTATGATCAAAGAGATTGGAGGTTTTTTTCTAAATATTTTTATTAAATATTATTAAATATTTAATATTCTTTAATAATTCTGTTTAAAGACAGTTATGAAAGAAATTATAGCTGAGAGATAGAAGGGATTTTGGAATTTTAAAATTAATTGTTTCTAGGTTTCATAATTAAAAACACATGTTTCATTGTTCGGTTATACTTCGCAACAGTATATCATTAATTCTATTGTTTTAATTATCTATTATTTAATAATCAATTTAGCGTATCACGTGTCATATTTTTTTCAAAATCCTGCTCCTGAGAGAATTTAAAAGTGCTATTAGAAAAATTATCCTCAAATAAATATATTTGAATTGAAAACAAGTATTAAATTAAATAAATATTGCTCAACAATTTTGATTTACATTTCTTGGAGACTAGATCTATCGCATATTATGTGGTACTCTCTATATATGAAACAGGGCGTGTTCCTTAATTTCCATCACTTTTGAAGGATGTTCAACCAACAATTTAGACTTCACTGTAGAGATAATGTTCGGTTTCCCATACTTCAAGAATGGATACTTGAAATAGGCCATGGTTTTGGGTTCTGAGACCACGACCCTGGAATATTGAGGATTAACAACTTGTTCTGTGAAAACTGGTGTCACGATCTCCTTTTCTACCTCTGATACAACCACTCTTTCTGGAACATTCTCCACGATTTTTTCCGCACGAATCACCTTCTCAACTACTGGTTCTTTCGAGAAAGGTTGGACGATGTTCACGTTGGTTTGAGAGCCAGGATAGGTCTGCTGGAACACTTGCACGGTCTTGGACGAATGAGGACCAAATGCGATCACATTGGCAGTGGTCTGATCGCGTGGAATCAAACTCAAGATTGGTTGGGATCCTGGCCGAATATTGAGAGTTTGAACAGAAGATTGTGGAGCTTTGACGCTCAAAATTTGGATTCTTTGCAAACTTGGTTGGATATTGAAAGTTTGAACAGCCGGTGGACTTTGAACGCTGAGAGTTTGAACGGGTTGTGGGTTTTGAACGTTCAAAGTTTGGACAGATTGCGGGCCTTGAATGCTCAAAGTTTGAACTGTCTGAGAAGCTGGCCGGATGTTGACAGTTTGAACGGATTGTGGCCTTTGAATGTTGAGCGTTTGGACCGCTGGTTGGATGTTGATTTGAGCAGGTTGTCGTTCTTGGATGTTAACAGTTTGGACAGGTTGTGGAAACTGAATATTGGTAGGCTTTACATCCGGCTGTATGTTCAGGGTTTGAACGTTATTTGAAACTTGCTGAATGTGTTGCGCCCCCGTTATCTTGTGAAGAAATATCGACTTCTTAGATCTGTCCACGTCTTCGCCAGTCTGCTCGATCTTCGGCTCCTCCTCTTTCAATCCTTCTTCCTTAGATTCTTCTTTCTTCTCCGTTGGAACTGAGCTATTGCCAGCTATTGCCAGACCCAGCAACAGAAACGTGAAATAAGCGTTGAGGTACATTTCTTTTTTCAGATTGTTCTTACGATCCTTCTCCAAAAACTGTGAACATCTCAGCGATGAGGCTGGTTTTTAAAGGTATCCACGAGATTCACCCGACACGTTTGATGTGTAAATCACTCACGTATCGAAAACACAAGACGTTGCTGACCGCGCACAATTTCGATAGTATCGTGTCACTTGTTGACGCTGCCAGTACATGGGATGCGCCGTGTTTTTAGTCTCGTTCGTGTTTCCATTGCGTGACATTAATTATTCTTCCGCACTTTTTATTTATTTATTGCATTATATTATTTATTGTATCTACATGTACTCGTGATACGACGAAAGGATTGGTCCAGGAAATGAAAAATCTTCTCAGTCAGAAATGAAAATGAGGATGAAATTAAATTTTACGAGATAGATTAATCATTTCGTTCAATTTTCAAAAATTATTAGTTAGATTTATTCATGGAAATTTTGTTTCAATTTGAAAGAAAAATTTCTTTTCCCACGAATCTTTTGAATAATTTAATAAATTTTTTTTTTTTTTTCTTAATTTGTTTGAAACTTCTTTAATTCGTTCGTTCTTCTTTTATTTTCCATTCTCTTTTCCAGTTTTCTAATTTTCCAAGTTTTTTTAATCCATTTGTATTTACATTTTTTTATCTTGAATTTAACATTATTTTATATTTTATTTTATTTTTTATTATTTTATATTATATTTTATATTTGCTATCAATATTATGCACATATTATGGCAAATAAAAATATTTCTGA